AGAAAATGGATTTTCGCATAGACGTATTACGACCCCCCCCCCTCCAGCTATGATAACAACATTGTCTCAATCTGAAACTTCTTTGTAATTAATATCTCATTTAACACACAGAATCCAAAAAACGGGCGAAAAAAAACCTTTTTTGGAGTTATTCTTTGTGAAGCTGGATTTCCGATCTTATTGTTATTTCTTACGAAGCGCTATTTATAAAGTGATTGGACTGTAGACAAGTCGATTGGACAAAGCATTGGTTACAAACAAGCAGAATCGCTCGAAAAGTCGAGAGATTTACTAATTATAAAAGAGAGACTAATTTGTGCACCTTTTTGTACTAACTATTGCTTAACATTAAGCTTCTGGATTCGGAATCTTTCTATATTATTTCTATAAAATATAGATAAACGTAAATTCTGTACAATTTTTTCGATACTATATGGACAGTCGAGACTAAATAGAGTATAGAGGAGATTCAAAAATACTTGCAATGATAACATACAACTGTAATGAAAAACTACAAAAACGTAGATCCGATTACGTACGCCGATTATGTCTCGATACACATCTCGTTGCTGTAGATGCGAAAGTACCGCTCGCAGATATCGCCATCGGTCCAGATCAATTTATACGCGGAGGAATTGCAGGAGAATAATACCACTAATGCCGAATAATCGACGAGCGACGCATTACAACGATAAGCGGGTCATTCTCGTCAGCTTGCGTCATGGACGTTGGACGTTGAGTACCGAGTATGCCTTAACACAATCTCTCTTATTTGCATATGAATCATCGATATATTTTTATAAAAGGAATTTGTATAGCGCGAATAATATACTATTTATTGGCAGTTGAAGCATACAGAAAAGCAGATGTGTGAGCAGGTTATATGAAAATGATTTTATTTATTTTATAATACAATATATAAATAGACGCACATTGCTACGTTAGTATCGTTAGTATATAGTTGTTATTTTGACCTCTTTCTTTACGAACACATTAAAAAAAAGAAGCAACACACAAGAAAAATTATTTTATAAAATAATCTCATAAATATAAGTTACAATAGACGCACAAAATTATATAAAAATAATTTATCTAACAAAAGAATTCTTATTTTATTTAGCTCTCAATGTTTAAAATAAAATAAAAAACACAATTAGCCCTCCTTCAGTTGGTGAGGTTGGGATAAAAATAACTCCACGGTTCGTTGACTAGTCAAAGCGTTTTTTGTTTAATCTAAAGTATAAATTTATAAAGTATGAACGTATAAAATTGTATTTTTATCTATAAATTTTATCTATGAATAAATAGAGGATGAAGTTTTATGTTACTATTTGCTTCTTTCACTCATTTTGTGGATTAATTAGATGAAAAATAAGCATAGGATCGAATCGATCTCACCTTATTGGGTACGTTCTAAAAGTTTACCTTATTAATTAATTAATAAGGTGAGAATTAAAGGCAACTGAGAGCAGTTGACATTAGCATATCTATATTTTATATATGCGAATAGAAGATTCTTGCTAATTATATTCATCCTTTTTTTCTTTTCTTAGATACGTACGAATGTTTCGGCCTTATTTTGGTCATCTTCAATGTATTATCATTATAATTAAAAGCCGTATTCTTGATGGAACCAAAAGTGATTGCACAATTCATACAAATAATTTATGTTATCAAATCCTTTATGTTATGTTATCATGTTATCATGTCGGTTGTATTAGATCTCTTTCTTTACAAACACACATTTGCGTGCATTTCTTTACAAACACACAAAAAAAGGAAGCGATATGTACAAGGAAAATATATTTTCGATATTTTTACAATAAAGCTCTTCCTATAAAACGAACGATCCCGCTGTTGGTGCAAAAAAAGAACAACGACTGCATCTTGTATCTTCGAAACTCGTGGACACGGAGCGCGCTTGTCCTTCCACTTTTTTTCGCAACAAATAATAAGATCGCGTATCAGCCGACCGCGTAGTAATTCATCGGGCGTGACGGTGAACCGCACTTTTTTCTTTTTTCCTGGGGACTTTTTTCCTCTTCCCTAGATAAGCCAGAACGAAGACCACCGGGCGTTTGTCATGTCGCACGCAAGCCGTACGAAATACCGTCGAGTTATTCGATTTTCGTCGGTCATTTAGTCGCGCGGCTGCATCCTGCATTCGTGAATTTCGCGACGCCCGCGATGTCCGTTCGTGCGCAATTTCGCTGAAGCGCGCGGCAAACAATGCACGTGAATTATAGTTTTAATATCGCAAATGAAAGACGATTGTGAATATGTGAGGGAAATGTGCGGAACGATGCGTGTACAACAACCGTCAAAGTATTTATTTTTCAATTGATGCAGATGTACAGGGCGTTCCAGAAATTAGTAGTATCATCAACGGGAAGGAGGTGATTCCTCGTACAAAAATAAGTTGAAAATATGAATAAAAATTTCTTTTTAATAGAGCTCTGTTTTCGAGAAGATTGAGTTTAAATATTGTCTTAAGAGACAATATTATATGGGCATCCGAAAAAGAATTTTAACATATTATTACCATCGGTTATAATTTCTGCGCTTTTAAAGATATATCACACGTACAGAAACACTCTGGAAAGAAAATTAAATTTGTAAATGTGTTTAATACTTACACTTCAAATATACGTATGAAAGTTATGTGAATAAGATTACATTTTTATTTAATAACACATTTTTGTCGTTTATTTATTTTATGTGTTATTTAATTAAAATTTAAAAAATGATAAATATCTAAATTTTTTAAATAAATTCTTCAAATATTCAAAATAACTCATGCAAAGTTTCATTGCGATTCACTGATTAGTTACAAAGATATAGAAAAAATAAATATTTTGTTTATTTACTGGGCAATGTAACTCTATACATAAATAATCTTGAACCCATGATGTACTTATATTTAAAAATTGAGATTTTTGTTCTTTATTTTATAACATTTTATACATTTTAATTAGAGCACAGATGAAAAAAATACTACTGTTTATTAAAATAACTTATGATCCTGATAGTAAACCAAATTTGTCGTATTATTTTTAGATTTAGAATAATCTGTAATTTTTTATAATTTTGTTATCATTTTGAAAATATGTATAAAACACATCCTTAATTGCTCGAGCAAGAACTTGTCTGCGATATGAAAGGTGACATTTTTAACAATTTTTTAATTAATAAATGAATACATTATTAAAAATTATTTATATTTGTATATATTTTTTTAACACATATATCAAACTCAGATATAGAAATAACAATAAATCAAAGGATAAACCGATCAAAATTACATACACCAATGCCTATTAAAGCCCATAACGTTCTAACAATGTTCTACAATGCCCAGTAATGCTTAATGTCATACCGCTTATTATAATACACAATTCTCTTAAATAATTCCGAATAATGCCTCAAATCACACCGCAATACCTTCAGTACTTTATCCCTTGTAGTAAACAGTCTGCACTGAGAAAAATTTGTGATTGAAACGATGAACGAATTAAAAAATTTTGATTATATCAGTCAAAATTCTGATTATTTCAATTAGAATTATAATAGATTCAATCAGAAAATTCTGATTTGTTCCATTTTCAACTAGAATTCCAATTAATGCAACCGAATTCTTTTTCCAGTGGGATGAAGCAGATTGTGGCTAGTCAAGTGTACGCATATAACGAATATTCAAGTTCGATTATTTTGAAAGGAGTTCTATACGAAAAAATTCTATTCTATATTTTTTATTTACGAGGAATTATCTCTTTTGTACCGTGATTTTCAGAACACCTTATATGTGCACACGACATTGATGGAGTGATTAAATCTCACATTTCCGAAGAGATTATTCATTCCATGGGACAAATTACTGCAATAGGATGCTCCAAGAATACGCTATAATTAATTGGGATCCTATTGAATGTAGTTCGTCGTTTCTGCGCATCCGTAGTGTAAAACTACGATTGCAAAAGTTGGTCTGTCTTTTATTCGTACTCGTTTTTTTTCTGTTTTTTTTCTTGCAACGAAAATGTATGTTTGCTCGTCTATCTTTTGCCAAAGCTTTGGAAGTTGCTCAAAGCACGCGAAGATACGGAAGATGGCAAACGAAATGGAAACAGGCAACTTTGCCGACGTCCAACCATTTCAATTACCCGCTTCCCTTTCCACGCCCGAATCTTGTCGATGCGATTACTTTCTACAGTGTGAGTCATTGTATCAATCAAATCATTCTCTTAATGCATCACTGTACTATTACTTTATATATATTGTTAAATTTATATTGTCAAATTGTACTTAATTTGAATTATTTTTACATGGAAAGAACAATTGGCTGAAAGTATTCAAAAAAGAAATATAGAAAATAGGGATAATTTTATGATACAAAATCAATCGTCACTTGGAATCGTCACATCAATGGAACTTGATAAGACGTAATATGAGGAAATCTAATTAAAATCGAATGATTAAATAAATGAATCCTAGTCAAAAACTATAAAATCTCAAGTATAATGAGGAGAAATGATGCAAAAAGTTTAACATTCTAATAAGTTTTAATGTCTTACATAATTATTAGTCCTATGATGGCTGAACAAGATTATTTTTAGATCTGTAGCTGATTAAATTTTTAGATACTCCAGGAAAATTATTTATTTTTTTTTGATATAATTATTTTTATTTTCTTTTTGCGAAATCAGAATAATATTCTTTTTAAGAATAATAAATTCAATAATCTAAAGAATGTACGCACATTGAAAAGCAAGTTACTAAATCTTAATACATATTTATTTGAATACTACTAGATAAATATTTACTTTTTTAATAAAAATGATAGTTAAATTAATGATACTTGTACTTGAACACGTTACGTTCATATTTAATAAATACTTAAAACTATTCGAATAAATATTTATTAAAATTTATTTTTTTTTTCAGTGAAATTTTATAAAATAAAAATCACTTTAAAGAAATATTATTAAAAACTCTTTGTATCGTTAATTTCATACAATCGGCTGAAACCAGAATCCGGCGTAGCAAATCAAATGCAGCGACCTAGTTGTTCGTGACACATTTACCGCGCAAGTGTCGATAGTTTAAACGGTGAAACGAATCGTGTCGTCGTGTCGTAGCGTGCGATTGTCGGCACCGTCCAGGATGGGTTGAGGAAACATTTTTCGAAAATTCTGACAGCAGAAAGAAACGCTTTTAAGTAATTTCAACATATCCCAGCCGTGCATCGCGTGATAATAAACGCTGTCGTTCTGTTACATTCGGTCAACCAACCTCGCAGCTGGAAATCTTCCCGCCCAATGCAACTTAGATACGGACGTGGGGGATGAAATCCGTAGTTTCATTCCAGGGAATTCATCCCTTGCCGCGACCCGCTTATCCGTGCTTGACCCACCGCCGATGTCACCGGCTAGCCGTGTTATTTCGAGCGTTGCATTTCGCTGTCCGCATTTACGAAAAAGGTCCGGTGCGGTTGCCAAGGGTTTACGATAAGGTGTTTTGCGAGATCCTCCGAAATGAAAGAAACAACTTTTTTCTTTTCGTGAAAACTTCGCCTGCAATTTCAGTTTGCCCATAGTCTTCGTCTGAATTTGGATTCGACTTCGGATTCGCCGTAAAAATCGAGAGGTTTAATTTCATGTCTTTCGTAAAATTTAAAGACAAGACAGATTTTATCAGAACCACAAAGATGCATTGAAAGGAATGACTATTTTTTTCTTTTTGTAATTTGTAATTTGCACTTTTAGATTTCTCCGTAACTTTCGCCCAAATTCAGATTCGGCGTAAAAATCGAGAGGTTTAATTTCTTGTCTTTCATAAAATTTAAGGTCAAGATGGATCTTACTAGAACCACAAAGATGCGGTGTCCCGATTTTACGCTAAATTTGGAAGATATAATTCGGTCTCTTCTGAAAAAAGAATATTGAGCTTTTGGAATATGTATACTCTTAGTTTTAACGAATCTATTAACAGATATAGTTTTTTTTTATTGTTGCACTGAGATGAGACATCTGACATAACTTTATTTAGAAGCGATTATATAATTTATGAAACGGTCGAGAAGTTCGTTATTGAAAAATGATATTGAATGACAGAAACAGAGCATCGTAATTTCATCCTGATAAATCTGATTTTATTTCCCGTTTATTTTTACTTATTCCTTATTAAACATTAAATCGCGATGCATTATTATTCTGTAGATATCACATCTAATTTTGTAAGGCGCGAATTTGAATGTGTCAGTTATTATTACTCTTACTCCTTTCACAAACGGATGTCGAATTATTGTTCCACCTCCAGCGAAATACCTTGGTTGAGCTCGGAATTCATGCAGAGGAAGCGGCGCGGTTAGTTAGAAAGTTGAAATTACGGCGTGCAAATGTTACGTGCGTGTGCGTATGTACCCCACACGTTACGCACTATGCGTCGAGTTTCCGCAAAATTGATACGATGCAAACAGAAATAAATCGATGTGTCTCATCTTTTCTCTATTATTTTTTCTCTATTATTTCGTTCATTGATGATTTCGCGAGTATTATCGATATTATACTTTAAATTTTAAATAATATACATATATATGTATATATATATGTATATTGTAATTAAATGTATAATTGGGATACTATAGATCATAAATATTCATAATGAAATGGGATAATACAGAAAATATATGTACTAAAAGAGCAGTTTATACTTCTAAGTAATTAATTTTATCTTATCGTAATAAATTTTTTCTTATATTAATGATTATTTCTCATTTGTGTTCTTATAACTCTCTATTTCATTGTTTAATAATTATTAGTTGTAATTATATTTTATTGTATTAGTGATTATACTAAGAATGTGTAAGTTAATTGAAAATACTTTTCAACTTTCGTCATCGTTACTTCTTGCATAATTCCACTATTCTGTGGGTGACTTATGGTATACCCCAGGTACGAGAGTCACCATGGGTCATTTCTGAGAAAAAATGTTTTCATTTTTTTTTTAAACTAATAAATATTTACTAAATATACTTATTAAATTTTAAAATATGCATTATGCTTTAATTATAAAAAAAAATGTATTTAAAAAAATGATAGAAATTTTTATATTTAGATGTACTTTTAAGAATTTGAATTTTTAAGACTTGCCCTGATCTCCTCTATATAGAAGTTAAAAATAATAAAATGACAAATGTTATTTTCAACACAAGGAATTGGGTTACTATTGCTCCTTTGATATCTATTAGTGAGTTCTGTCTACACTGTTAAATTTATAATATCAAATTTCAGATATTTTTAATCATTTTTTTAGGTCGTGACTATTCTTATTCAATACATCCTTAATTTAACTAAAACAATGGAGTTAAAAAATTTAACTCAGGAAAATGTAGTAAATTTGACTGAAATTTAGTCTATTATTTACCAAATGCGTAATATGTTAATATAGATATATGTTGTCACTTTAAAGCTAATCATAAAAATATTGCATTGCATTATGATACACATAAATAATATGAAAGTTAAAAATAATAAAATGTTGTTTACAACTCAAGGGTTTATTATTGCTGCTTTTGGTATCTAACAGTGTATTCTGTCTATGCGATTATTCCGCGTACGTCATTATCCGCCTCGCTGGAAATTTTCAACATTTGACGTTGTAATTACTGGAAACACGGCGAGTATGATAATGCCGATGCTACGTTACAGTATATTATCAAGCGCGTTATAATGTGTTACGACTCGCACGCCGTTGTTAATCACTCCGCCACATTATTGCAGATGTTTACGTTGTTTATTTAACGTGCAGCTTCTCATAATTAAGTAATGAATTAAGTATTCCCGCCTGATTGTGTTGTAAGACTCTTTGATCGATCTGTAATCGCAATCTATTCGCGTTCAATTTTGTGAATTTTTTTTATAATTATACGTAATGTGTTTTTATATATATTTATAATACACGTATATTTTTCTGTATAAATAAATTTTAATATATATTTTACATACGTGCGTATTTTGATACTTCAAATGTTTTTCATTCTTGCGTAAACATAAAATTATGAATACGAATTAGATCGCCTAAAGTGATCTTTCATAATAAATATAATAAATATAAAACACATAAATGCAGTTCATACAGTAAATTATCTAGCTACAAATGATTTTCTTTTGTAATTTCAAGTAAAAGATTCTTCGTTTATTTAAATCGTAACGACCAAGAGGTCGATTTCGACAAGAGAATTCGTATCTGCATTTGCACTGTAATATGTTAGAAGTAAATTTAACTTCGCCATCAGGTATCGCCATTATTATTGTTCTCTATTGCTATGACGCCTTTGGGAGACTATCTACCGCGTAAATATGTATATATTCTAATGCATGCGCAATTGGGTACACGTACACACTTGACAAGAACTTTGAGTGCCATCTTTCCACCCTCGACCTCGTTAGTTGCTACTAAACCCTCGGTGTTACCCACTTTTCCGTCTTTTTCAAACTTCCATGCAAGCGATATCTACCCTTGCGACACTTCGCAGCCTTTGTAAGTATTTTTTTTTCTCGCTGAACTCTTTTCGAGCGTTTCGATATTTTTAACAAAATTGCTGTATTTTCTGATTTTGCATTCTTTTCATTATCATTATTTAAAACATAAGATTATATATATATAATAAAAATAGTATTTGTTTCTTTAATTATATTCATTTAGAATGAATTAGAATAAAAACGTACCTTTCTATTATATTACGAAGAAACATTTCACGTTTCCGAAGCTGCTTTTCTTCTTGTCATTTTTCGACAAACTTTGCAGAGATCTGAAACTGTTTACGAAACTTTTAAAAAGTCGTTTAAAGATACAGACTTGGAATTGTTTTTTCAATATTAGGACTTGACTCGTTCGCCTCTTCTCAAATGAAAGTCTCGGTACTCGACTGTACATTCGTGAACTTGGGAATATTTCAACATAATAACGAATTTATCCATCGAGGAGCAAACGCTCGGCACGTTCCTATGTAACGTAACAATACGCGTAATAAAAAATGCATTCATCAAACATGGTCGAATTTCTTGTAACAACAAAGAGGAAGAACGTGCGCGTCTCGAAATCCGGAAGAGGTGGATTTGTTTCTTTTTTCCTATACAGAGGAATTTCCATCGCACAAATCCACCAATAAAGCCGGGCGTTTACTATACTTGCTGCGACAACTCCGACTTTCCTTCGCGTCGAGAGAAGAAAACTCCTCGAGATGGTCCAAGGATGGACTTGCGAAGACTTTCGCAAATGATCGATCTCGTAAAACGGTGATGCCCCTCACGTATGAATCGAGGCACGTTCGAGACCCGTGTGCCTTCCTAGGCTTCATAAGGGATACAGTAAAATTCCGGTCGCGAGAAGGAAGCTCCTGATCTCAGCGCACGTTTGAGATCGCACGTGTCCTGACACACGCGCGTGTGTGCGATGTCAAAGGTACCTACTACATACAAAATACATGTCGTATTAAGATCTGAATGATTGCAAAGGATATTTAACACTTTGCCCTGTCGATTTTAAACGAATTTCTGTAAAGACTCTGTCACTCAAAGATATAGATGACTACTTTACTTACAGAAATTATTTTATGAAGTATTTATAAAGATATTGATAGAAAACAATAGAAAAATTATTTGTATAATATAATAATTTATTAAAAATTAATTATTAGGTGTTGGAATTAATTCGTAGCGTTTT